ATTCAAATCAAACCTTTTAATCTGAACAATTTATTGGATGCATTTCAGAGATGAAATTAAACAGAATTACATAAAACAACATAATAGTTTTGGTGCCAAGAAACTCCAGAAAATTGTATGCTCTGCATCCTCTCTGCTCAGGATAAAGTAGGGGTAACTCTAGTAACTGCAAAATTGTATCAGGGTGAAAAGAACCCCCAAAACAGTTTCAAGTACAGGAAATGGAATCTTTCACTATTGAAGAGTCCAGTGTTTACATACAGGATTACTACACAGTCCATAGTGTATAATTTCAGGTCAGAGAGGGCATACCTTTACACCAGACTCTTCCCAAGATTTGTTGATTACAATTGCTCACAAGTCTATTTTCTAAAATTTTCAAACTGAACTAAAGTTTGCAGCTGAGCTGACATTATTTCTTTTTGAACTGAGAAGGAAGAGAAAAAGGAAGCATAACTATGAATCTACTTCTTTACACAACCCTGAAAGCAAAAATAATTATGTCCCTGATAATAATAGAAACTGAATGTCTCCCCTCAGGATTTATTTCACCAATGCTCTAAACTACATTATATTTTTAAACATAAAAATATAAATACGAATTCAGTATAGTAACTATCTTTCAGTTAATATTACAGTTCAAAAACACTAGGTATAACAGATCTAAGTTACACGAGACTTCAAAGGTCACATATATGGCTTTTAGTGGGGGAAAAAAGAAATTTGCTAGAATAAATAAAAATTAAATAGTTGGAAACTATCTAAAATTTAAACAATAAATTTGGTATTAAAACTGAACTTACCCAAACTTTCACTTCATTACATTTTTCCAGTGAGATTCATTGATCATTTGTCATAAACATGACAGAATACTGGCCAATTATGAAGCATAAATATTCAATGATCTATAATTATACCATAAATGTGCTGCTCACCATTTTAATTAGAGAAAGCTGCAACTTTGTGTTTCAGTCTCTAAATAACGTATAAATATTTAAAATGATGGGATACAGATTTGCTTTAGTAACTTCTTCATTAAAGACTACAAAGCCACAGTTTTTATTGAAGTCCTTCTTTGAAAGAAATACCACTATGTTTCTTTTTCACTATTCTATTTTCTTCCTTACTAAGGTTTAGAGCTTGGACTCAACCCTGGGTTCTGCAAGACTGCAGTTCTGCCCAACATTTACATAGGCCTGTAAATTTGCTTATACAATTACTCCTAAAATGGGTGCAGCAGTATATACCTCTGC